AAGCACGAACCCACGAGACGCTCACGAATACAACTCGTCACCTTGCAACGTTGGAGACGTTCACAAGTACGCATCTCACATTCAAGACTCGATTTTAAAACAACATAATACGTAACACGTAAAAACTAATTTCAATGTAATTTTTATAAAGAAAATAAATTTTACAGAAGTGCACATAGCTCTGCACTCTCTAATTTCAATTATTTCTCGTGGCGCACTATATTTTAGTCATCACAGAAGGAAACGTCGAAGCCATTTACAAGTTAGCCAACTGTAAACGAACGAATAAAAGGAGAGATAAATGGGTTGAATGACAGAACGACTAGCGAACCTTCAGTTATGTTGCCAGCACTCGCTGTCAAAACGGTCATTCTTTAAAACATCGCTCTGTACCTCTCCGAAGGCAGGAGGGCGCCTGCGCATGATATTGTAAGAGGTTTTGAGAATGCTAACGTAGCAGCTATACCCGGAGCACAGGGCCATGACTTTACACCTCATAGCTCTTAACGTTGGCGGGCAGAGAGCGCGTGTAGGCAGGCTTTTTTTGGCCTATCAGAGATTTTCTCTGTTAAGAGTATATTGCCGGGCATAATTAAAGCTTTTTTCAGATTATCATATTTTATGTAAAGGAGATTGTTTCTTTTATTGGATACAGCTTTATTACTATCGTAATGACATTTTGCACCCTTTACCATGAAAACACGATCAAAGTTGCCGTCCATTAGGGGATTTAAATTCTGTCCTCATTCCCTTTCCCGTTCCTAAAAGGACACTACCCATCATTGACATTTTTCGCGATAATATACAATTTTGCTCTTCCGATTGCGACAAGAACTTCATGATTTTTTGAAGGTGCCTTAAAATTCCTACTAAATACAATTCTAATAATTCCAGAAATGTAACGTTTATAGGGTTCGGAGTATTAATTACTTTAGAAACGTTGCCAACGACTTATCTTGTAACTGAGGAAGAAGATTGAATCCGCTGACACACGTGAACCCGATAGTCATTTTTCCTTAGCAAGGCTATATCTAAATTAGTGCAACCAGTGCACTGCAAGTAATTTGGGCCCTTTGGAATTACAATTTCATCTGTAAAAAACGTATGTTTTAATGGCAGATGAGGACTTTGTTGAAAAAAAATTACGATAATGTCTTAAATTATAAGTATGAACTGGATTTTTAGGTGAAGCACCTACAGTCAAATCGTATTGGGAGCTTTAATTTTTTTTATTTCTAACATAGCATGTAACGCAATTAAAAGCACTTAAACTTTCCTTGCACCTAATTTGCATCTAAATCGCCATTCAGCACTTAAGACTCTCTGCCCCTATTTCCCAATCTTTTCAAAAAACAACTTATTTTGAATTCAAAGACATTTTGAGTGCACATTACATTAACCAAATCTGTTTAATTATAAATCAGACATTGTTTGTGCAGTGATGCGCTTTCTTTTGCTACACTTTGCTCCAAAATAACCTGTTTCTATTTTTAATCTCAGAACAAAAATGAAGCAGACCCACTGTCAATCTGATTACCATCTCACCCCATCGTGACTCGCTGAAAAAAAGATGAAAAAAATGTGTGTGTTTTATACTGAAAACTTCACAAAAATAATGACTTTCGTTCGTAACATTGACGAAGATCGATCTGTTACACTGGAAAAGCTCCAATATAGATTCACATGATTTCCAAACCGAACTAAACAGCTAGGTCGAGTTTAGGTGCTGTCCGGAGGAGGAATTTAGGTGCTGTACCGACTGCTTGGATCGGTAGTTTACTGTGGTTTCTCTCATTATCAAGTGAGTGACGAAACATGTTAGTAAATGAGTCACGGACCGCACGTGTTTTTGCCTTTCCCATTCTTGTTCCTCCTCTCCAATTTTACACACACACGACCAATATTTAAGTCGGGAGACGAGCCGAAACCTCAAGAGTTAACCAGTCTGTGTCTCCTTCCCGTCTTAAAAAAAGCATTTCACTAAGGGACTAACACCCTAACAAAATAACGTAAATGGCATTTCATCTTGTGTGTGTTCGGCCAGGAGAGGTGGATCAGAACATCAACTGACGACACTGCAGTGCCTTTATCCAGGAGGTCCTATGTTCAAGTCCCGACGGTAGCACGATTTTCGACACCAGCTTGTCAGCTAGGCCGTATTCAGTCGCTGCCTGAAGGAGAATTCTAGCGACCGGCTGTTCTGATCAGTAGTTTTCCGTGGTTTTTCACCTCAACACCATGCGAATACCGGAGCAGTATCCTATCAAGCGGGCCACGGTGCAGGCGCGAACTTTAGTAGTCCTGTTCTAACCTCTTACACACACCTTCATATGCAGTGCACTTCCACATATGCCAGGAGACTAGTCGGGAGTTTAGAGTTTCTCCCGGCTGGGGCGTTTCGCAGCTGGTGGGAGATACCTGGTTCGGAAAACACCCGTTAGTCTGGCGTTAAACCGCTGACGTTATTCTGCACCTAATCTCGCCAGCCAAAGAAAAACTCCCTCCCTGAGAAAAATATTCACTACACTTACGGGAATAGGCCTTAGACGTTGACGAGCCCGGACTCACTAACAATCAGTCAACCAATGAAACGTGTATGTATTTGTGTATTTGCTTGCGCAGGCGGCGGCGC